ATTACTGGCTACGGTCAGTGCGCGGGTGGGTGACCATTTTGATCAGCCTGCGTAGGGACCGACGGTGTGCGTTATTGGTCCTAGTTAAACTGTTCTACCATAAAGTGCTCGACTTCACATGCAGGTCATCGGGCTACCGAAGCGGGGTTGCCATCCCCTCTACGAAGGATCAAAATTATGATGGCATATGTCTTCGGATCATCCTCAGGGATGTTTTCCAGACCGTAGCCAATAGCCCATTGTGAGACATAATGAGACTCTAGTGAGACGTAAATGAACTACAACTACAACAACGTTATCTGTTAAATAAAATATACCTGTTGCCCACACGCGACCGAAACTTTAGCTCAATATGCTATGAGGAGTAACATACCACTCCAACAAATCCATGCGTAATGACTGAATATTTTTTCTCCACTGCGCAATTTATGCTCGTTACGTCGAACTACTAACTTGATCCGAGCTGAAGTCCTTACCTTTTTTCTCTTATATTGTAAGTCTATCTCGTTGAACTGAGTCCACACGACAATATACATGGAACCGTTCATTGAATCATAATATGTGTGTGCAATCACGATAGCAAATCATATCTCATGTTCATAAAAAATTTAAATTGTAAATCATGCAAACACTAATGTAATCTGTTGCTTTTTTTTTTTTAATTTTTTTAAACTATTTGTTTAATTTCTTTTAAACTATGCAAGTCATTAAATGTATAAATGTTATAGCATAATTTAAAAAAAATATGAAGAAGTTAATTTGTACGTTTATTTCTTTAAACCAAACAGGGCAGTAGTATATGCATCAATGTTATCTTGTATTCTTAAAAAAATTATATTCTTAAAAGTCCCACAAATATACTGACATTTTTTCTTCCGTTTCTTAATTTAACCTAAGTTTATTTTTTAATCTTTGCAAATCATTAAATACATTAATATTATAGCAGTTTTTTTTTGATTAATTTTTTTTTTAAACTGATGGTTTATTTTTATAAACTCTGTGAATCATTAAAATCATTTATAATATCACATATTTAAATGTGCGAATCATTAAATATACAAATGTTGTTACATGTTCTTGAAATGCGGACTTACCAGCCTGTTTCTTTATACAATGCAAATAATTAAACTTGAATTATGTATATTAAATGATTTTATTCAATTATAACTAGGTCGTCGGATGTTCTCATAAGGTATGGTAAGACGATTCTAGGAAAAAAAGGTACGGGAAAAAAGGTCCCGGTAAAAAAGGTACCTGGAAAAAAAAGGTCCCGGAAAAAAAGGTACGGAAAAAAAGGTCCCGGTAAAAAAGGTACCTGTGTAGGGAAAACTCTGTAAGGGAAAATATTTGAAATGAGAAGATTAGATTGAAGCGCTGTTTGCTGTTCCGCATGGCTATTTTTTTTTTTTTTTCGTGTCGCGCGTTTTCAAAGTGCTTTTTATCCAACTTTTGTTTCTTATATGGAGGTACCTTTATTTCCGGGACCATTTTTTCCGGGAACTTTTTTTCCAGGGACCCTTTTTTTCGTACCTTTTTTTCCAGGGACCTTTTTTACCGGGACCTTTTTTTCCGTACCTCTTTTTCCGGAACCATTTTTTCCGTCTACCTGGTAAGACACATTAAATCTGGTCAATAAGCCTAATGATATTTTAAAAAATTAGATTTATTTCAAAAATAATTAATGAAAATATATTCTTACTTTTTACAAGGAAAAATATGGCAATATTTTTCTCTACAGTTTTCTGAAACCATAAAAAAACTTATTCTCGTAACTTTTACTCTAAACTCTTATGTTATTTGTCATAAAATTTCATTTCAAGCTTCTGCTTCTTTTTTTCTTAGAAAAAAAAATGTAGAGAACATCAAAAAAGAAATAAAGAGAAAAAAAAACATTAGTCATTAATTTCACGCGTTCTTGCACGACAGGAAGACGATAGCACGCTGTTTACCTCATACTGATTTTACGAGCATTCTGTAACAGCGTGGGGGCAGTAAAATAACGCTTTTTTATGTCTCAGTACTTAGGAGGTATCTCCTTTGATGTAACACCGATTCTTAAGTTCCTAGGTCATTCAACTGTCAACTTTTAAGTTCTTAAGACTTAAGATAGATGGCGATACTTGACAAAGAGCATTTCAAGTTTTTTTCGTTTTTAAACTTATTTTAATTAAAAAATGGTAACAACGTACAATTGTGAATTGCACATTCCTTAACTTTTGTTAAGCGTTTATAAAAGTGTTATTAAGTTTCAAATTTTTGAAAAAATATTTTATTTTATTTAGTAAAATGCTGAAATTAAATTCTTTTTTATATTTTATATATATTTAAAAAAAGTTCTGACTGAAAAAGTATGTTCTTAAATTTTTTGTTGCCCAATATTGAGTAAACACATTCAAAAGTAAAATTTATTAAATAATTTATTATATAATAAAATAAAAATATATAATTAATAGAATTGAATAAAATAAAAATACCTAAGCAATAAGTAAGTATAATTCTTAAATAATAATATAATGCATAATTTGAAACTTTTAATTAAAATAGACTATTAATATTTTTTATTAAAAAAACTTTTAAATATTTAATAAAATTTTTGCGAATTTAAGGAATAATTTTTAAAAATATACGTCCATATTTTAAAATTCAAAGAATAGAATTTGTTATTAAACTTCACATTTTACAAAATATTTGAAAATCTATTTTTAAAAAAAAAATAAAATTGATGTTTTAGCAAAAATATAAAGCCTATTTATCTTTTCACCTGCTGTCAAATAATTGAAGTACTGCTTAAAAATTTTATAAGTGGCACATTGTGGAAAATTATGAGCTAATTTAAATCCCTTAAACTTCAAACTAAATTCTTCTGTCTTTGAAAAGAAAAAAAATAACAGCATCAATTAAATATCAGTTCAACTTTTATAATTGCTTAGATAAAATTATATCAAATTGATTCGTACGTTTCTTTGAAAACTTTATTAAACTTTGAAAACTTTATTATTTAAAGGACCAAGGAAATTTGATCTCAATTTTTGTTTTAATATCAGTTTCTTGTTTCCACGACATTTATTTATTATAATCGAAAACGGCGAGTTTTAATGATCTTTATCAGATTTACGAAAGTATTATATCAATAAATTAATTCTGTATTATTTATATTAAAACTTCTTTAAATCGATTTCCTTAAAAAAAACTTTTTCAACTTCAGATCATATTACATAGATTTTTTTATTTTCGTATGAGGATAATGAACAGAATTTCTGAAAAGTTTTTTGACTACAGTGCTGCCATCTCTTTTACATAATGTGTACTCAAATTCCTTATCAAGAAATAATGTTATTATTACAGAAAAATGCATTTCAGGAACAATGTATAACACAGCATATCTATTTCTTACATAAATTAACTTCAAATACCTAAGAATTTGGCCTAAATAAAATATGTTAAGCTTTCTTTATTGGTAAAAATATTTGCGATTAAATTAAAATTAAATTGAATAAAGAGGAGGAACGGTTTTAGACAATTCATGGATCGCAATCTGTGTAGTACTTTGAGAATTACTAAGTTTTGATAAATCAATTATGCGGAAAAACGGACCCTTACGAGAGTTATTACACAGTGGAAAACGGCTTCTGTCTGCCTTGAAATGCTTTTGCTTCTCAGAATCAGCTTTTATGGACATAAACAGCTCTTTCTCTCAAATATTATTATAATCAAATCTCTTAAAATATCATAATTATATTATCTTGTCAAATATTATAATTATATTTTTTCATAAACTGAGATTTTGTCTTATCACAAATTGATTTTAACTTCAGAATTTTAATGTTAATCTTAATAGTGCTAATAAAATTAAAGTTAAATATATTTAAGTTAAATTATAAGGTTAATTGAAGGCTAAATTAAGTAAATTAAAAGACTTTTTTCATAGAAAGAACATGTGAAAAGAAATGCATTAGAACGGGCATATTATAAAACAAAACAATAAAAAACTGAACTGAAAAAAAAATTAAAAAGTTCGTCTGCTTTTAACAATCACATACATAGTTCACTTAGTAGTTAGCCAAAGCACAAAAAATTAGTATGGTTGTAATTTCAAATATTTATTAAGAGATATAATAATAATAAAAACAATAAAAATAACATTAATACGAATAATAATTATAAACAAAATGAATTTAGCATTTCGTTAACGTATTAAACTTGATAATGCAAAAATTATTTGACCGATTTTGTTCAAATTTGGTGTTTAGCTATTAAAAAAAACTCAGAATAAATTGAGGAAAAAGTTTTGCATACCTTACATTTCAAAATTTTTTGAACTATTGTTTAAGTTTATAGTATAAATAAGTAAGTTTTAGAGTTTGCAGAGGAAAATAATACCGGTTATACTTAATATCTGTAATTCCAAAAGTTCGACAAACGATTTTTTAAATCTGAAAAAGCGATTTAATTTATAACCATCATTTTTCAAAATAAATGCAAAAGTAAGTCTACAGATGACGATCTTAACTAAAAATAACTATAAATCGACTATGAACTGCCATTTTAAGCAACACCGCGATGCATTCTGATTACAAAACTATCAGACACCAATGAAAATATTTTTGTTGAACTCGTTTGAAACGGGGCAAGAAACATTTTTTACTTAATTCTCCATTCAGAAACCTCATATGCTGTGGAATTTTAACTAATTTCGAAGCTTAGCGAGAAATAATTATCTGGTTTATTAAGCAGAAGACAGCAAACTTGAACTCTATTCCTATTTTCTTTCATTTTTATCTGATTGATTTTTCAAATTATCAGCCTTTTTTTGGGATATCTGGTAATTCCTAATCGAAAATCGGTTTAAAATTTTTAATCCAACTAATTTGAACTACAACAGAGAATTTTTTACTTATTTTTTAATTATATATTCGCTTGTGTAGATAATTATTAGCTCTACGAATCATGAGCCCCAATTTTTCTTTTCATTTTTCTCAAAGAAAAACAACAACACATAATTTAATTTTCAATTTAAATTTATTTGCGGAGAAAATTGCATTTTAAATTTTGAGGTGATATTCTCCTCTTCAAGAAATAAACTGAAAAATACATAGATTTTGGAGAGAAGTGTATAGTTAATGAGCTAAAATTATTTTCTATGAGAATGTTGGAAAACATACTGAAAGGGTAGTGTTTGCAGAACACTATTGCAGAAAAACGTAACATTATTTAGCATTGTACAATAAAATAATATTTTGTTGGTCCAAAGACATCACTCTTGCCCTCATTTAAGATATTGACTACTGCTAGATATCTTTTTAAAACACTTGATTTAGTTAGTCAGTCCCATTATAATCAACAGATGGCGTTGTAGTTTGTTGAGTATATGAGATAACAGGTTGTATTTTCGTAGATGGAAGAGGATTCACGGTTTTTGTTTGCATTTTTATTAATTTTTGCATTTTTCAATCACATACTTGTTTGTGACGTCAGCTATGTATGTGGTTACCAATCCATTTCTTACGAGAAGTATTAAAATACATGACAAATACGGCGTTTAGAGTTTATTATACCTGTACGTGTTTATCAATCCTAAACTATGTAAAATCTCAAGTACTTAAGCTTGGTACAAAAGATATTATTTTTCAGATCTAAAGATATCATTTTTCAGGTCCATAGATATCATTTGATTTTGGCCTAAGCACTAATATCCGAATTGTTAGTACACTCATCAAATCTCAGGTAGATATTTATGAAAATCTTCGCATCCGTGAATCAGTCTCGTTGTCAACAGTTGAGGTGTAATGGCTTGATTAATATGATGTGGTTGTTATATTTCTATTAAGTATTTCTTCATTGAATATTTCTTTGTGATGCCACTAAGTAAGTGTTTATTATTCTTACGATAGTCATGAAAATATAGGGTAAAGATGATGTTCAGGGCACACCCTGTATACCATTGCTAAATGATGCAAAATCTTAAGCCCAGTACAAAATATTATTTTTTGTAGATCATTGCTTCATCAAAAACTCAAATAGGTATTTCTTGAAAAAGTTCATTCTAATGAGTCAGTCTCGTTGTTATCCGCAAAAGGTACGCTGACTTGTTGAACATGTGATGGAGAATCAATTTTAAAAACGCCTCCAGCTTTTTAAGTTTATGATGTGGCAATGGTTGCGTTTATATAGATGGAAGAATGAGATTCATACATTTTTATTTTAATTAACTCTGTACTACTTATTTTAATATTTTTTGTGACGCCTATTATGTATAAGTACTTATTAATCCATTTTCTACAAGAAGTTTAAAAATGTAAAGGTAGTGTAATGAGAACACCCAACACCTCAGCACCTCAAAAACTTCAATTTTCTGTCTAGTATCAAAAATTTTGTGCAATTTGTTTATCCAAAGATATCATTGCTTTTCAATGCATTCAGCAAAGTCTCTGACAGCTGTTCTTCGCTGATAAACGTTCGCTTCAGTGAGTTGTCAGTTAGTCTTGTTATTTGCGGAAGGTATGTTAGCTTATTGAACGCATGATGGAGATTCACTTTTGAAAACGCTTTCAGTTTGATAGGTTAATGATGAGATGAAAGTTTCGTTTATATGGATAAAAGTTGATTCATGTTCTATTATTATTAGAAAGTTTCGTTTATATGGATAGAAGTTGATTCATGTTCTATTATTATTAGAAAGTTTCGTTTATATGGATAGAAGTTGATTCATGTTCTATTATTATTATTTCCATTAACTTTACACTGCTTATTTTAAAAAATTTTGTGATGCCTAATATATATATAAGTATTCATTTTCTAAGATAATTATGAAAATATACGGCAAAAGTTTTATTTAGAGATAACCCTGTATATTGCAGCTCATCTCCGCAAAAATTTCGATTTTATAGTTCGGTTCATTTGGTTGGTCCAAAGCTATCATCAGTGCAAGTGTCATATATAGATTTTTTTTTAAACTTTTAGTTCAGTGAGTCGGTCTCGTTGTTATGGGCATAGGGTACTGTGGTTTGTTGAGCATTGGGTATCCGTAGAGCATCCTTTGAGAGAATGCCTTCAGGTTGATGGGTAGATAATGTGGCACAGGTTGCACAACGTGGCTGGAAGAAGATCCGTAATTAGTTCGATTCTGAATGGATTCTGCATGAACAGCGTCGAATGACTGATGATAGTCCGTGTGAGATCTGGATGCCTCTTCGGAGGATGATAGGTAGGAGCTGTGGTGATGTCGATGATGGTAAGAGAAGGAGGAGACGCTGGATTGAAGTCGAAAAGATGTGACGGATGATCTGCTGCAGAAATCGTCGGTGGTTGAGGAAGTTTGTCTCTTTTGAAGAGGGAGATGGAAAGCAGAACATTCAGAGCTTGATGCTGAAAATGATGAATAATAATTAAAATTTGTATTATTATTCTTGAATTTCACCCTACTTTAAAGGTGACTTCGTGATTTTCGGTTTTTCGGTGGGTCAGTTTCAAGACGCGGAGCTTTTGGAGCCCGGTCCAAACTGTTCTGACGAAAACAAACTGAAAGTCTAATCGGTTTTAACCTTAAGAGAAGAGTATCGATATTCTTACCTTCTGTTTTCGTTATAAATAAATGATTTTAGGTAGAAATCAAATTTATTGAAAACAAACTTTTCATTTTAATACAAAATATTTTCCGACGATGCAGCGAAAGTATTGCCTTGTCCCTTTTTCGTCAAAATAAAAATTTATAAAAAAATACATCCATAAATTGAAAATTTGATTGGTTTATTTAAAGTAGAATGATCAAACCAAATTCATTAGTACTTAGTTCGTAAAACTCCTGAATTGTGTTTCGTCATTCTTTAAGATTTTAAATTTCTTACTGTAATTAATTTTCTGACAGAAACACTTAAAATATTGATTCCCGTAAAAAATTGTAAATTGAATCTATTGAAAAAGCAACCGCTAAACGATTAAAAACTGTAAACCGTCAAACGATTATCTTCTCAAAAGTTGAAGAAATTTAGATTGAGTTCGATAAGCCGAAATTTAGATTGAGTTCGATAAGCCGAAATTTAGATTGAGTTATGACCATGTTGTGGATCAGATCTAATCGTTACTTTATGATATAATTTAGACACCGAAGAATCTGAAAAAGATTCCATTTTTTGTTGTAGTTGCATTAGAAAAAGTTTTTTGCTTAAAAAATATGTGCTATTATTTTATGTACGAGTAGCTGACTGCTGTTCGTTTTGGCGGAGTTTCACGAAGTTTTAAATCTCAATGCAACATAAATGTTTTTTTTCTTCTAAAAGTACTTGCTTCGGCAGTACATATATTAAATTTGGAGAGCCGTGGTAACTCAGGGGATAGAGCGTTCTCCTTCTAATGACGTGAACCGCGTTCGAATCCCAGCGATGGCTGGTCTATACGAATCCCGCACCCGGTTCACATCGACTACACTGCTGACTTGAAATATCCTCAGTGGTAGACAGATCATGAGCTAGAGTCTCCTTCCCTTTAGGTTAACCAGGGGAGATTCTCGTGGTCTTCGTCTCCATGTAGCGCAAACACGGATCAGTTCCATCAAAAAGTCCTCCGGGTTATGTGGGTTAGTTCCATCATAAAGTCCTCCACGAAGGGGCAAATTTCTCCCAATACTTGATCCAGGAGTTTCCTTGTCTTTTGGATTAGATTCAAAATTACAAGGCTAAGGAGATGAACATTGGTAGTAGTAAACCCAAAATTGGGTGACTGTTCAACGACTGTTATAGAAAAAATAAATAAAATAAAATAAAACCACTTTCAAGAGTACATGATTTTGGCGCATATATGTCTTTGGCGCATATATTTGGCGCATATATGTTTATAAAGTTTCTAAAGGAGATTTTTCTCAAGCAATGATTAAAACAAGTTTTATCAACAATATTGTGATAATTCTTTATCGTTTTTTTTAAGACTAAAATTAATATTTTAAAAAATAGCTCTGTTTAAACTAGCGAAAAGAAGGAAATAAACAGTAGCTTGTAGTTATTTTACAACTATATTTTATAACCGTCGTTGAACAGCTGACCCAAATTTGAGTTTACGACTACCAATTTTAAATCCGTAGCCTTGTAATTTTGAACCCAACACTGAAGACAAGAATAATCCTGGATCAGTACCTCCAGAGGTATTCATTTGTAATGGGAACACAGAGGACTTATTATGTACTCATTATTATGTAACAGGGTATGCATGACGAATTACTATGATCACCAAAGTCGCTCATAGAAACCTTTTTTGACCTACAGAATGACGTAGCAAATTTCACATGTAACTTTACAAATAAGTCTTCGTGATTGGCGCATTTTTGTTACAATATCTGAGCAGTGATTTGTTTTTAATAAAGAAATAATAATACAATACAGGATACAGTATTTTTTTTAATGATAATTATTGTTAATATATTTTAACAGGTGCTTTGGTTGGTAAATCTGAAAAACAATATTTAAGTAAGAAAAATCTGATTTAAAAAAAAAATTTAAATTTTTCAAGAAAATCATAATTTTTCCAGCCCTGTTTTGTAGATGATTTGTGTTTAGTGATTGATTTGACCTGCATATTGACTGTCAAATTTTTCGTAAAACTTCCAAGATATTTTATAAGCAAACAGAAGAAAATTATTATTTCAGGAAAACTGAAATCTCCAAATACCAATGAAATTCCAGCTACCGATACTAACAAGCTAGTTTCTAAACAATTTTTTCATTAATTTTTTTAAAAATTTTAATCAATTTAGTGTGTGAAAGCTGCAAATTTTAAAGAGTCAGTGGAGCATCATGTCTGTTTGGAACAAAATTTCAAAGAAAACGCACCTTTATGGAAAGGTGAAGAAAATTTAGAAACAACACTAGCTGTGAAAGGATTACACATGAATTTTGGTAAAGTATTCCATGCCTTTATGGTAATTATTAATCCAGTAATTTCGAAAATATAGTTAAATATGTAAAATATTTTAATGTAATTCGAATTATACATTTAACTGCGAATTATGAAAGCTTTTTACTATAATATTTATGGTGAAATGATAATTTCTTACTTGTTTGTTTTGCTAAATCTCCATACAATCTAACTCTTGTATTGCGCCTTGTTTGAGGTTGTATTTTGCATACACTGCAGTTGCAAGAATGAAACTTTGAGTCGTGATCCGAGCCTTTGAGTTCTGGAAAGTATCACATCACTCATTTAATCATATAAAAGTAACATCCATAATATATATATATATACTTTCTATTTTATTTACTTAAATTACAGTTCGTTCTATATTTAAGGTATCCGACTATTTTCAAAACATTTGTTTTGAAAAAAATACCTTTACGACTTTATTGAATACCTTAACGACATTGAAAGAATCGTGAAAAATCATCTTAAATAAGGAACGATCTTCTATAAAATTCAAGCGAAAATAACGCTTTTAAAAGTGTTCATTTACAATTTCTCAGGCTCAGGACTTTCAATTTATTCTGTAATAAATTAACGTGTTTATAAATTCGTTTTTTCTTCATTTTCTTTTTCTGTTCCACAAACACATTAATAAAAAAAGGCATATTAAGTCAGTTAGTACAAGAAAAGCATAATTTTTTTTTAATATATTCTTTTCGCCAAAATTCCCCACATTTGTTTATTACTCTTACTGTGTTTTTCGTTTTAATAATTTTTGTCTTCAGTTTTCCGAGGATATTGAAAAAGTCATGTTCTATATTGGATGCGATAATGTATCTTCGTTACACCTATTTTAGGATGCAATGGTGATTTATGCATTGTTTCACTTTTAATGTCACTTGAAATAGGTAAATATCTGATTACTTTAAAATTCAATTTAACTCAGGAACTTTCAAACCTATTTTGCTCAAATTTTATTTCTTGCCCTTTAAAATTATATTCTTTAAAATGATGCAAAAAATGCCCCACTTATATTTTAAAAAAATTTCGTCCATTATTTAAAAAAAAAATATATTTACTGAAACTTATTTTTTGTATAAAACATTCTTTGGATAAACGAGTTTCATAATTGTGCGTAAAATTTTTTTTAATTCGTTTAAAAAGTTCTCGAGACATAGCAAAATACGCAAAAAGTAAAATTAATATTAAGGGGTCCAAACATTTCAGCACTCTCCTGATCAAACTATTGCGATAATTTTTTCCAGATTGCGGCTCCCCCCCCCTTATTTTGGGGGTCAGAAATCCAAATCCGTCGAAAAAAAAGGTATTTTTATTCAAGTACGTTTTAGTGTCTGATTTCATAACTTAAATTATCGTCTGTATTTAAAATTAGCAAATTTGAAGTCTTCCCTTCCAACCATTGAGATTGAGTTCTACAACGTGAAGATCCGATCATTAGATCAAAAGTTATTCAGGGTGGTCCATTTATTTATTTATTTATGTACGTCTCATTCAATAGCAGTGCTAAGAACAATTATTGAACTCCAAACTTTTCAATTTTTTTGCCATTGAAATAGCATTTGTATGGAGAATTACTTTTCCAACCATAAGAAGCTTTCTTGCTAAGGCTTACAGAGAGCATACCCAACCAATTTTAGTTTATGAGTGATTTCGAAGATCCATAAGTGACTAACAAAGAACTATAAAAGAAGCAAAGAAGAAAAAAACTTAAAGATACAGAGATGGGGGACATAAAACGAGGACGAGGACGTATAAAACGAGGGGAACACTTGCAATTCACCAATCGTCGTAATCATTGGTGTAAAACAAGAAAAAGGTTGCCAATACTGTTACTAATGATTATGGATAATTTTTTTAAGTAATTACAAGCCATAGTAAAACGAATTGGGTTTTATCTGAAGTGGAGGCTTGATAATCACACAAATAAAAATCGGTTTCTAGTTTGTCTAATAAGCAAAGGTGATAGTTGCGCGAAATGATCATCTTGCTTAAATCTTGAGATTGGTTTTAAAATAGCGAGTCTTATACTCTCTGACACCATCCCTTTTGCATACTACTAACTGGTATGAGAGTGCTTTGCCTTTTAGCAAACGATAATGGACGAAATGAAGCCAAGATACACGGAAAGAAAATGCTTCAACATAAGTCAAAAACTTCCTTGCAGCACTTGAATAGAATATCCTACCACACTCGCCGTTTTTGGCAGACATTGATATTAAGATACATTGATGATCACCCTCGTCTTGATTATGACCTATTTGAGCAATACTTCCATTTTTCAGAGAAATAGAAGAACAAAAATACGTCGATGCTTAGAACACCAGTTGTTTTTTCAACTGGTGTTTGAACAGTTCGATCATTACAAAAAGATTAAAATTACTTTGAATTCGAAAATACGTGATTAAATTGCTATCTATTTTTGCACAACAAAACCCCCATTTCTACAAAATTCAAAAAAAAAAAAAACTTGTTTGTATCCCCAATAGATTTTTTTAAACTGAAATTAATTTGTTACCTGAAAGTCTTATATTTTCTACTAAAGTCAATTATATAAATAAAATTCCAACAATATTTTAAGTAACATAAAAGTAGAAGTTATCTGAAACATTCAATAAAATGGATTCACAGATTAATAATTGTATAATTTCATGGATTGTATAAAAAATAACATAAAATAATCATGTTGAGCAACTGATTTGAAAATCATATTATAAAATAGTAGTAAGCATTTTAACTATTTGGTTCTGATTACGTAACATAAAGGTATTATTTTTAACACTTAACAGTAAAATGTCCAAAATAATGGAACTGTAACTTGTTTCTTACTTATTTGTGATATATCTTGCGACTTCAGACATTTTATAACACTCTGAAGACCTTCTTTGACAGGGACATGAGACAGCGTACCAACACTAACCACAGCCTCAGGCCCCGTATCAGACACAGTTGGTAAGTGACCATACAGAGGACCCAACTTCGTAAGAGGGGTGGCCACAGCCATAGTCACTGGGAAAACCTTTCGAGAGATTTGTTCGTGGCCCCATACCCGCCACATATCTCGAATCGCTGGATCTATACCTGGACTCTGAAATAAGAAGGAAAAAAATTTAAAAATTATTGAATCTTCATTAGTTGAATTTTAAACTTATGTGAGTATCCTTTATTCACATTAATACACAATTAACTCGCATAATTATCCATTACTCACCCAGAGTGTTCTGAAAACTCCGCACTTAATATATGTACTATCTAATCCCACTATAATTAACCCGGAAAATATGGAACAGTTAATTAAGGTGAACGTTTTTTGTGAACCCGTCCGAACTGTTATTTAACTAATGTTATTTCATATAAATAAATAAATAAATAAATAAATAAATAAATAAATAAATAAATAAATGATGCTATTTTACTAATTCTGCTTATTGAAAAAATTTAAGTAAAAAAATCTAGCCAAGTGTAGCAGAAAAAGGCATGCAGTAAAAATGATATAGTCATAAGAGTAAAAATTCCAAATCTTAACAGTTCATCAATACGAGTCTGAATAATGCTTATTATATAGTATATAATTAAGATAATATAAATAAATGGCATTGTTTCATTCGGAATTTTAAGTTATGTACAACTTCCGTTCTTTTTGTGCTTGTACTTATCTGTTGCTTGAAATGAATTACGTATGATACCAAATGAAATTTGACATATGAAAGAAAAATTTTTGTTAAACCGATATAATTCTTTACCTTAAACATCATATCCACTTTTTTGTAATCCAGTATTGTACAAGTTGATGATTGTAAGAGTTCTACAATAGACAGGAAGTAACTGGGATCAGTCGTGGTCACGTTCCGCATCACTTCCTGTGTGTTCCTTCTCAGAAATTCTGGATAAGACAAAAGACAGGGTCGTAAAATTTTTTCCTGAAATTGAAATAGTACGTACGTTACAAAAATAATAATATTTCATTACATTAAAAACTAATAATTTCATTAACAGTAAAATTTCTAGCGAACTGTTGATTGTTTGCAAAAGTACTTTCAGAAGGGACAAGAAAACCAAAAAATAGTTTAATTAGTGTTAGCTATTTTACTTTTTTTAAGGACTGAGATATCCGGGTTAGTAAGGAGTTGGGATCATGAGATCGCGAGTTTGATACCCGCCGGCCGAAGACTCTCTATGGAGTAAATGATGACTGGTGCACATTAAATATGTCGGGTCACAAAATCTTCTAAGTTCCCATAACAAATCAATATCTCTGGGGGTATTGAATAGAAGATTGATCAATCTCTGGTTCAGGACAAAATTACAATCTGTGGATGAAAGAATGGATCCCCCTTTAAAACGGGCTGTGACGTGTGTGTCTGAAGTAGTATTCTTTATCTACAGATAACGCCACTGAAAAACAAGAAACGCTCCCTCTGCCTTAAATTCACTTGGTGTCACCAAGCAGGTTCGCTGGTATTGCTGGTAAAAACAACAACCTTTTCTTTTCTTTATCTAGTTTGCTACATTTAGTCTTTTAAAGTTTCGACTTACTGATTTTTCTTAACTATACATATAATCATTGAGTAATGTTATGTCTTTGCTTAAATTTGCGTTTGATTCTTTGAAGTCCTGATATGTCACAATTTCTTTTGCCTTTTCTACCAAGGATACTCCTGTTACGGAAATATTTCTTGTTTTCGAAGAAAACCAATTGAACACCACTGCATGTGTAAAGCATGTCTCGGTGTTTCAAGCATTCGGGTTTTTTTCCAATAAAGCATTTTTTCTTAATCTATTACTCTCTGAAACTCTTTTAATGTGAAATTTTTCTGAACCTCTTTGAAATGTTCCAATTTATTGCTCCTTCTCCTCCCTTGCAACCGCAATTATCAAAAGAGAGGGATAAACGTAATAGCAAAAAAAAAAAAAAAAAAAAANTTTTAAAAAAAAAAAAAAAAAAAAAACTTTATTTCAATTTATATTTTACATTTCTCTACCTAAATTCTTGAAACTTTCTTAAAGTCTCTTAAATGGAATGTCCCTAATAACGAGGTAAACATATAATCCCTCTATTCTAAGGAACCGGGACCATGTTTTTTGTATAGAAGATGTCCTTTATATGGAGTTGTTCTTCATATTTCAAAACCGTTAAAAAGTTTCACTTAGCATTACATTTTTTTATTAGAATTCCAGGTGATATTTAAATTGAATATATTGAAATCAGCTAAGTAGGATATTTAAATTAAGAATATTTAAATCAACAACATAGTAATTTTACAACAACATTACCTTTAATAGTTGAATCATTTGCTCGGGACTCTTTCCAGGGAAGGACAAACTTAGATTTTCTGTTTGTATTTCATTGATAGTTTCAGCACATATGTCCAACACCATTTCTTTATGTTTGTTACTCAAATCGGCAACCATAATCTGAAACAAATGCACAAACGTAAACTATTTTTTGTCATATTATAATGGGAGTTCAATAAAGTCTCTACCTCTTTTAATAGGAAGGGCTTGAAATAACATCTAATATATATAATTCTCTTACGTGGCTCCCAAATTTTAGCTGTATTTCCTTTCCGATGGTGGCAACGTTTGCTTTGTTTTGTTTACGTTACTATTTCTCTTACACGGCGAATCGACCAATGATTGCCGCTAAAAATGTCACATGCCAAATCTAGCTGAGATGGCTCAATATATAGCGCTTTTAAAAACGGAAACTGAAATAACCAGACAACATCAGCTGCGGCAATCTCATACTATTAAGCTAGGCAGAAGTGAGTAGTCTTTGTCGATAGATCTCTATTTTAGTATTTTGTCGAAAGCGCTTTCTTTCACGAATTTATATATTACGAATTTATTTGACGATTTTTGATTTATATCACAAATTACATTATAGCACATCTCTAATAGGTTTAACGAATTACATGTCATTTATTTGAATCCAAATTTATTTTAATGACTTAGTATTTACTAAAAAGATTTAATTTTTTTTTCAAAAAAATGTTTTTATATGGGTTTGAATGATTATCTAATAATTATCTGATTGTTTTGAATTCTTAGAATTTTGTGCATTTGTAATGTACCTAAGTTAGTAGCGAGCGAAGCGACCTTAGTGTGCGAAGCAAACCATATAAGATTGCGTAGCAATTTTCGGGGATTGGCGAGCATTAGCGAGCAGGAGGCGCAGCCCACTAGCAATATAGTAATAGAGATTTCCTTTTCTCCAGAAGAGACTCTTTTGCGTCAATTAGCCCCACGGTATTTTTTTCTCAAATTAGTACTTTGCGTAGTAAGATTTAGTAGTCAATTTATTGCTTTCATTGGAATCGTAGGGCCTTTTTCTAAAAACATTCTTGTGAACAATTGAAAAAATGTGGCTTATCATTATATTGTCTTCATATACGTTTTTCGAGTTTTCATAATGATGATGTGAAAAATGTATACTCATCACATTGCAAGTTACAAACTAATATTTAAGTGATAAAAAGAATCAAGAATGTTTCAAAATTATGACCAGGTTAGAGATTAAGTTTGAGAAGTTGTTGTTGTAGTTCATTCTGATTCATCACAATTTTGATCCTCTGCAGAGGAGATGGCACCCCCGCTTCGGTAGCCCGACGACCTGCACGCGAAGTCGAGCACTTTACGGTAGAACAGTTTAACGAGGACCAATACCGCACACCCTCGGTCCCTACGCGCACACTGACCACAGCCAGTGATGCTTGACTTCGGTGATCTGCTGGGAACCGTGTCTTAACGATCAGTCCACTGCGGGACTTAAGTTTGAGAAGAGAAAAAGAGAGATTAAAATAAACAAAAACAAGTCTATTTGTCTATGGGAAATGGCCTTTCGTTAGGAAGTCTGTGTTGGTTTTAGATTATTTCTATATATTTCGGGTTAATTTAGTGATTGGTCATTGAAAACTTAAAAAAATATTTAGTACTTTTCTCAAAGTCTTTTTTTTTTCTCATGAGCTCTAAAATATCAATATTAAAGATGGACATTACAAGACACCTGTATATACAAGATATTTCATAATTCTTTTTGTATGTAAGAGTATAATAAGGAAAGATCGCGTTAAATGCAGAAAAAAATTAACCTAGCATTAAATGTAGAAATTGTACAAATTTTAATTATTAAACTGCCTAATACCATGTTTAAACTACAAGAATAAATTTAACAATCAAAATCTTGATATATTTCCCCCTCTTCTACTGTTGCTTTGACGCTATCTTTCTTTCCTAGAATTTTTGCTTCATAAATGAATTATTAAGGGGGACCGGAAAGTCGTTTTGGAGCATTTGATATCGTTCTGATATCGTTTGACATTTGAATATCGTTTCGAAGCATTTGATATTTGTTATGAAGGTTTTATTTTTAATCTATAATTTATTCACCTTCGTTAGCAGCAACTTTTCAATGCCGGATCAAAAATGAATCGAAAAGGATCGAATAAAATGAATTAGATTTTAAGGCTAATGAATATTTAATGCACCGAAACGACATTACTTTCCGGTCCCCCAAATATTTTGTCAGAGCATTGTTTTGTACAACGCAAAAAGTACATTTTAAAATTAACTAACTATCATTTGACTAACCACAGCTTATTTTTAATTTTTCCTTAAAAAAATATTACTTAAGTGCGAAAGTGAATGCGAAATATTACTCTGTGGAATATTGTGTGTTTTGAAAAGTTCACCATCAAGTAATTAGCTTAAAGTATTTTATTGAAATGCATTAAATGCTGCCATTTTAATTGAATTACTTATTGAGAAGATTAAGTGCCTGCACAATTTATAAGTTTTAAATATATCCTTTTTTTTCTTCTTTTTATTGTTACAAAATGGGATAACTTCAAACTGCAAAAGTAACTAATTTAATCCCAGAAAAAGAGTATAAAATATAGCATGAGGAAGTTATGGCTTATTATAACGAAATTACAGATAAAAATAAAAGAAATTGTTGCTCCGTGGATTATATACACGTTCATGATTTTTTTTCTTCTTTTTTTCCCCCTCTTGAAAGTGCGTATGATCAGTTACTTCATGACATACGTATATAAACTTGACAGGATGCGAAATTGTATTACTAAATATCTAGAAAAGTTTTTCCTTCTTGCTTATTGCTGATTACTGGTACATTTTCAAATCTGAAAGGGCTAATGCCAAAAATTTTAGAGCAAATTTATAATCAAAGGAGTCACAGAAAATTACCGGGTAACAATTGCTGTGATAAATAAAAGAAAAAAGTTAATAACTTCGGAATTTGTGACTTGGCAATTAAAAGCAAAACATGTTGCGATTTTTTAGCATGCGCACTCTTATTGTTTTTTGTAACATAACATAAACATGAATGTTTATGTTAAATCGAAGAAACTCAATGTTTCTTCAACTCTATTTTTGTGAGTAAAGAAACAAAGTTAACATTTTAAAACAGAATTTTTTTAGTCCTATTTTTCGAACTTTTCTATTATTTTGTTATCATTTAGGACAAAATTAGTGAAAAACATTATATTTAATAATTTATTGTTTCTTATTTAAATAATTTATTGTTATGAAATACAGCATGAAACAGCAGTGTCCTTTTCGGCGTTAAAAGTAAAATATTCCAAACACGGCTCACTTCCAAACAATAATTGTTTTTAAATTTGCACTTATTCAAAGCTATTTTTATGTAAAAGAAATAGTTTTTCATGATTGAAATTTCTTTAATTTGCAAAATTATTTAATCATAAGAAATTTTTGAATATGAACGGAAGAATTTTTTTTCTTTCAAACTACTTTTTTTGGATTTTATATTTTAGTAGAAATATAACTCTGATAATCTAACAAAATTTTTTTAGTCGCTGTGAAACTTTTTTTATTATTAAAAGTTACTAAAATATATTTCTGTTTATAATTAGAGAGTCAGAAAAAATATATATATAAAAGATATTGGTGTCCCATCTGCGTCAAAGGGTTAACGCAACTTCCTGACTATTTCGGATCTGAATTCTGTCATTCAGGAGTTACCGATATATCGACACTTGCGCAATTTTGATATTTTTCTGCATTGAAAGCAGGCAAATCGGACATTCCATGAACTAAATTAGTAATCTGCAGTTACTCTAAAAATTTGCTTTGAATATTTGAACTCAGTATTTTCCGGAATTATTACTTATTATTTAATTCAATAAATGTCACGTTGTGTAGTCTAATAGGTAGGTACATTCCAATAAACCTTAACTTTTGAATGCTTTTATTCCGAACACTGTTTAAAAGTTCTAGTGAAAATGCAAAAATTGACATGACTTACCGGCAATTTCCAAAAGTCGGGAGTTGTCTTGTGTTCTATAAGAGTTCGAATGAGGTTCTGAAAGTGCCTGCAGATTCCTTCTGTGGTGTCTCTCTGATAGAGGGTGAGCATCACTACTGGAAGACTACTTCTTGGACAGGGTCTGAAAAAAAATCCATGAACAATATTCATATATTTCATACACACTATTCATTTTTGCAATATTCGCATAGAGACCCACGGTTTCTCAATGAATAGAGCATTAGCCGCGATGGCCCAGGGAAATGAATTTTTCGTCATCGAAAACAAATAATTTTATTAAAAAATAAGTCGAAAGATTATGTTTAAAAAAAATCAAAATCAATACAAACAAACCGGAAGTTGAAACAAGCTCTAAAAATACTGCTCTCTACCGTTGTCAATAGAGGGATGTTATTAATTTGAAAAACTTTACACTAATAGTGTAGTTAATGAATCTGTTTGAATTAAATCGACGCATAAAAAATCAATCGCGTTAGGCATACCATTCTGAAGAAGAAAAATCTTTTTGCATGTCTGTAAAAGTGTTTTTCTGCATAAATTGTTATTATGCAGGAAAGTGACAATACAGCACTCCTTTCTTGCTATATTTCTGATGCATACCAAACGAAAGGAGAACAACAATTTTATTAAATTTTAAACGGATTTTAATGAACGTTGTTTTTGTTTTTTCTTAGTTTTAAAATATTATTGGAAATTTAGTAAAATTTAGAAATGCATTGATTTGAAAAATTTTCAAAGTTAGCATTAAGTTTAATTAAATGTTTATTTTTAGTTATAATATTAAATTTTTAGTTTAAATATTATTTTTTGTTTCATAGTTAATTTGTTATTATATTAAGTGTTATTTTAAATTTATTAAACATAAATAAAATTTGTATTTTACTAATTTTTGCGTCATTTTTTAAAACAAGTCAAATAATTTTCATGTAATTCATTTCATTCAACAGACAATTTTATTACAAAAATTATTGATTTATTTTTTTAAATAAATTGTTCAATGTATAGAAAATGCCATTATTATAAAGAAGAGCAGTCTAAATCAATCATATCTTTTAATTATTACGAAAGTGTACTTTAGTTGTATTTCAATTGCAAATTAAAAGTTCAATTGAGGTTGCATTAATTAAAAAAATATTTATTTAGTAAAATGTAACAAAAATAAAAATAATCACATCCAAACTATTTTATAGCTTTTTGAGATATTATTTGAGAAAAAATCTCAGTTTTTTGGACC